CAGGAAAAGAAGTGAGTGCATCTCCCCAGCTCCTGCCCCAGGCAGGGCAAAACCATTGTCTTCCTCAGTTGGAAAAGGGCAGAAAAGGATGTGGGTGACTTCTTTCCGGGGTGGCTGGTGCCACAAGCTCTCACCAGGCCTTCAAGGATACCTCCTCCTGTCACTGTCCTCATTCTTGACCTCGCCCTAAATCTGTTTCCTTTCTGGGCTGCTTGGGAGAAGGTGGCTGCTGTCAGGGAGGGGGTGGTGACAGGCGGCCCCTCAGGGCTGCAGAGAGAGAGTGTATGAAGGGCAGTAGAGAGGACAGGATAACCTGACAGGACTGGAGCTTGCCCCAGTGGGGCCAGGTGGAGTGGAGAACCTGTGAGAGATCTGGGGTGAATGTCTTGGACTGGAGATAATGGTGTCCGTCTTCACTAACCAACCTGTCTATTGGGACCACCTGTAGGGACTGGACATACAAAATCACAGGGCATAACCTTTAGACTGGGTGCAAAGGACACTAGGGAGGTAGATGTTGTGAGGGCGGGGGAGCGTGTGTGTGTGTGTGTGTGTGTGTGTGTGTGTGTGTGTGTGTACTCAAAGGATGCTGAGTATGTTTGAACATAGTGTGGCCCTTGCCTTGGCCCTTCTATCCACAGGAACTCCATCACCCCAGGAAGGCTTGGAGGAGCTGGCCAGTCTCCTGTGCCACTCACAAGGCTAAGGCAGATCATCAGACCTTGGTCAGGCTTAGACGGGGGACTTAAGTCTTAGGAGGCCTTCTTGCACCCTCTGAAGTTTCTTTGTACCTTGGGCGGTGGGTTCCCAGGATCCCTTCCTTAAAAAAATCACAACTGATACACTTCTCTGGCAGGCTGAACGTCTCCATACTTTGGAGAACGGATTCTTGCCGTGTTTCCACGGCGCCCTCTGCAGGCTCCTCCAGCAATTTCTGCAGCTCGCCCCTCCCATCCAAAAAGGGCGGGGTGGGGGGGCCACACAATGATGACATGACTTTCCAACTTCTCATCTCTAACTCTCAGGTCTTTTGCCCTAGGTAGCTTCTGTCCACTTCTTTTCTTTTCTTAGTCCCACCCAGATGGGTTCTTGCCATTCTGTGCCCTCTTTAGAAACTTCCCTTTCCAAGCACCATGGGCTTAGGGTATTGGAAGCAGGTGATTGCTACCCATGCCTCCTTCAGCAGCATCTGCACACCTGGGCCACTTGTTTCTATTTCAAGTTTTTCATTATGAACATTTCGAGAATACAAAAAACAGATAAACATCACATCAAACTTTTCATGTACCCATTGTGCAACTTCAAAGTGTTCTGAGGTCTCACCAGCCCAGACTGGTCACCAAATCCCTCTGCCTCAGCCTCGTAAATGCTGGGATTATAGGTGTGTATCATCACACACAGCTCTCAGCTTTGATGTTCTTCTGTTATTCTTTCCTCTGTTGTCCCATAATCCCCCCCAATTTGTTGGATGCATATTCAAACACTCTATCATTGGGCTCACAAGTGCTTAGGCTATATGAAAAATTTTAACATAATTCCCTTATAACAGTTAGCAAAAATTTCTTATCTCTAACATTTATTGTATTTCATTTTCTCTGGTCCTCTCAAAAACATTGATCTGGTCAGGCCTGGTGGTGCAGGCTTGTTATCCCAGCTACTGGGAGCCTGAGGCAGGAGGTTCGAAAGCTTAAGGCTTGCCTGGGCTACAGAGTGACTCTATCAGAAATATATACAATAAAAATAGGGCTTGGCTGTAGCTCAGCATAGAGTACTTGCCTTACATGCATGAGGCCCTGGGTTCAATCCTCCATACCACCACCACCCAAAAACAAACAAACAAACAAACAAACACAAAAAAAACCAAAACCCCAAAACCAAAAAAGATAAATAAAAATGGTGTGTCCAAAATAGGGCTGGAATATGATTCCCATGTTTTACCTGTCCCCCTTTTTCACAAGTGGCATTTTATATACAACCAGCAACAGCTCTTTCTTTTTCATCTTTCGCCCCCCCCCCCCCCCGCCGCCGAGCCGTGGTGCATGCATGTCCATACGTATGTATGCATGAATGCACATGTGGAGGCCAGGGTCTCTCACTGAATCTGGAGCTCACTGACTGGCTAGGCGGGGGGGCTGGCAGCCTGCAGGGATCCTCTTGTCCCCACATCTCAGTGATGAGATTACACGTCCACGGCACCATGTTGGCTTTTTACCCTGGGTGCTAGGAATCCAAACGCAGGTCCCAGGCTGTATGTAGAGTTTCTCTGTGTCTTGGCAGCCACTCCCAAATAACCAGACAGAGACTTACTGTTAATTATAAAGGCTTGGCTGATAGCTTAGGCTTCTCTCCAGCCAGCTCTTACAACATAAATGAACTCATTTATATTAATCCATGTGCTGCCCAGAGACTCTTTTACCTTATCTATGGGCTCCCATGTTGCTTCTTCCAAGTCTGACTCACGACTCCTCAGACTCTGCACTTCTTCCCAGCATTCTCTTTACCCCCCAAATCCTGCCTAGCTATCAGTCCATTCGGCTTTTTATTAACAATGAGAGCAACACATATTTCGAGTGTACCAAGATTGTTCTGCAGCACCAGGCTTGCAAGACAAATGCTTTAATATCAAGGCCATCTTCCCAGGCCCCTCTTTTAAAGTGCCATGTACTGAAGGAACAGAGCTGTTCATCCCAAAGAATTTCCCACATTTTGGATATGATATGGTGATGTTTCACATATTCCTCTAATTCCCACGATCCTGTCATGGGAAAGAAAGCTCGAGGCTTAATTAGAGACAGGTGGAAATCTTCAAATTCTTCTTCCTGGGCTTCATGAAACATGTTCCTTCTTGGCCTCCAGGAGGGCACAGCCCTGCCCCTCTGCTGTTCTCAGACCCCTTCACCAGCTCTTTCCTTGGTCTAGACCTTAATGGGGCTGCTTTCAGAGCTCTTCCCTGGGCTTGCACACTAAAAGAAAATATTTTTATTTATGTGTGTGGATGTGTGTGTTGTGTGCTTTTTTTTTTTTTTTTTTTGAGACAGGGTTTCTCTGTGTAGTTTTGTAGCCTATTCTGGCACTTGCTCTGTAGAGCAAGCTGGTCTCGAACTCACAGAGATTCACCTGCCTCTGCCTCCCGAGTGCTGGGATTAAAGGCATGTGCCACCAACGCCCGGCTGTGTGTTGTGTGATTGTATGCTAAATGTGGGCAGATGCCTGAGGAAGTCAGAAGAGGGCCATAGAACCGCTGTGGCTGGGTTACAGGCAGTTGTGCAATGCCAGACATGGGTGTTGGGAAGTAGACCAGAAGTGTGAATGCTGTTCACCCTTGAGCTATCAATTCAACCCAGTCTGGCCTCAGGCTCAAGATGGCCTTGAACTCCTGACACCTATCATGCTGGGGATTGAACCCAGGGCTTTGTATGTGGTAGACAGACACTCATCCCATCTGTACCTTTAAAAGTTTTATTTATTTATTATGTATACAACATTCTGCTTCCATGTATATCTGCACACCAGAAGAGGACACCAGATCTCATAAACGATGGTTGTGAGCAACCATGTGGTTGCTGGGAATTGCACTCAGGACCTCTGGAAGAGCAGCCAGTGTTCTTAACCTCTGAGCCATCTCTCCAGCCCCTTACTTATTTATTTTGAGTCACAGTTTCATTATGTAGGCCGGTTGGTTGGGCTCAAGCTCCTATCCTACCTCACAGTGCTGAGGTGACAGGTAAGCACTGCTACACCTAGCTCCTTGCGCCTTGTTCTCCAAAAGGTTCAGGTCTCACAATACCAAGCTGTCTCTTACAAGGTTGCTCTCACAGGGGTTCAGCCAGCCCTGTCTTTGTCCTGAGCTCTGACATCTTTTCTGATGACCTCAGCAACCTAAATTTTCTCATCTTGGCCACCTTTTTTTTCCTGACTCCATTCTCCGTGGGTTTCCACTCTGCAGGTACAGTGTTAGCTTTAAAGTCTGTAGCCAATTGGGAGGTGGTGGCGCACGCCTTTAATCCCAGCACTTGGGAGGCAGAGGCAGGTGGATCTCTGTGAGCTCAAGACCAGCCTGGTCTACCGAGCAAGTTCCAGGACAGGCTTCAAAGCCACAGAGAAACCCTGTCTCAAATCCCCCTAAGCCCCCTCCCCCCAAAAAAGTCAGTAGCCATGGCCTGGTCCTTCCTGTGATCTGAGGTCTTGCCCTGTATCACCTCTTGCTGCTTCCCCTAGTGGCTTGATGTGATGTCATATCATTTCCTTTGCTGGGGACACTTGGCATCACCTTACCCCAGTCCCTTCCTTCTGAGCGGGATCTTAACTGAGCTGGCTGAGACACCATCTCTTGAGGCCCCAGACCAAGGTTGATCTGTCTGAGCTGAGTGACCAGAGGGGAGGTAATCCAGGGTCTGAGCAGATCTCTGAGGTGATTAAGGGTCCTCTGGGACCAGCTTTCCCAGTAGCTGCCATCCCGGGACTTGGGGCCTGCTTCTAATTGACATCCCATGATGCTTTCTTGGCAGCAATGAGTTCAGCAGGCTGGTGGCTGGGGAATACCTCAGTTTCTTCGACTTCTCAGGCCTCACGTTGGACAGAGCACTCAGGTCAGTGGGGCTGGGATGGGACAGTGCCTACAGGTGATGGAACAGCACATTTGGATTGTCATTCCAGGTCTATCATAACTTGCTGCATGACATTTGTCCCTCTGATAAAGCTGTGGGGAAGAGATGCTATGAGTAGCACTTGTCCAACAACTCAGCGAATGCCAGCTAATGTGATGGGTGCTCAGGGTAGGGGTATAGTCACAGCTCGGAGGGCTTGTCTGTACGGAGCACTTCCTGCCTGCCAGATGCCATAGGTCTTTCTACACCTGGCCTACTTTGATGGTAAATAGAACTTGATTGTAGCTGTTTCAGTGTTTGGGCCACAGGAGGGTCAGTTGTGGGCCTAGGGAGGAGGAGGGGTGGGATGGGTGGATGTTGCTCAGTGTCATCAGAAAGATGCAAGGCCGAGCTGAGGAGGGAAGGGCAGAGTCTCTGAGCTAAGGGTTGTGTCCACAGATGTCTCTTATACTTAAAAAAAAATACGATTGTTTTTAAGATTTGTTTATTTTCTTATGCAATGTTCTGTCTGCACTCCATAGGAGGGCACCAGATCTTATTATAGATGACTGTGAGCCACCATGTGGTTGCTGTGAATTGAACTCAGGACCTCTGGAAGAATAGCTGGTGCTCTTAACCTCTGAGCCATCTCTTCAGCCCCCATTCTTATACTTTTTAAAAATCACTTTTATTCTTTTCCCCTCTGTTTTGGTTGGGACATTTTCTGTTGGCTTCTAGTATACTTGCTATTTTGCTGCATTCAGTGTACCATTGAAGCCAATTAAAAACTCACTGAGGGCCTGGCTCTGCATGAGTAGGAAGGGTGAGGGCCACAGTTCAGACCCTCTATTTCTGGGAGGCTTTCTGCCTAACTACGCAGTTCCATAACTGTCACCCCTTTGAGTCTGGCAACTGTGTGCCCATGTGCTAACAACCCCTCAAGACTCCAGATTTGTTTTCCCAGACCTAAGAAAGGATCCAATATACTGCCTTTTGCCCATGGGCTTTGTTGGCAATGCACCCAGGGAAAAGATGGCTGTCTCGTGTCAGCCCGCTCTGTCCAGTCCTCTTCACCTTGAGATTGTGGGCCGGTGGCTCCTCTTGCTTCACCTGTAACTTAAGGAAGTGCACTGCTGCCACTGTTGGGGATGTATATTGCTCTACTCCAAGCAGATCTATCTTGAGCTGAGCCTTTGGTTGCATCAAAATGAGAATGGTCAGAGAGACAGTGTTAAGTGGGACTGGCTCACCGTCAGAGGCACGGACGGGTGCTGGGCTGAGGGTCCTTTATATTGGGCCCTAGAGCAAGGTTTGGCTGTTCAGAACCTGCAGAGCTGCAGAAGGCTCTGGGTGTGAAGCAGCACCGTAGCAGCATGCTAGCAACCTTTAATCTGGAGGACAGGCCTGAGGATGCGGGAGAGTGAGCAGGAAAGATGGGCACGAGAGCTTCCTCAAGAGATAGAGTGGAAAGCAGCTGGGGCAGAGATAGTGAGAATATAGGCAATGGTGGGGCTGAGCCTTGGGGCAGGCAAGAGTATAGGGGGAGGAGGTGTGACACTTGGGGGTTGGTAATGAGCCCCTGGGAGGCAGGATTTGGGAAGGATGGGGCTGGAGTTTACGAAATACAATGGATTGGGTCTGGAGAGATGACTCAGTGGTTAAGAGCACTGGCTGCTTTTCCAGAGGATCCAGGTTTGATTCCAAGCACCCACAAGATGGTTCAGAATTGTCTGTAACTCTATAATATGAAGGATGTGGATGTTTCTCTGGGACTTCTGGGGAGCCAGGGAAAGGTTTTAAGTGGCTGTGGTGAGTTGAGATCGCCTGTGTGTCTACAAGGCAGATACAATGTGTGTGGGGTGCTAGCTGAGAGGCTGGGGTAGGTATCCTGAGCACATGATGAGGGTAGACTGGAGGGAAGAGAAGAGGAGGAGGAGGGATTGAGATAAAGACAAAAGGAAGGCCAAGCGTGGCAGCACAAGCCTTTGATCCCAGCCCTTGGGAGGCAGAGACAGGTGGATCTCTGAGTTCCAGGACAGTTAGAGCTTTGTAGAGAGACACTGTCTCAAAACAAACAAACAACTCTCCACCCCAGAAAAATGAAGAACAAATCACAGAGACTTGGTACAGCTTAGACTTGGGGTGGGGGAATGAGAATGGAGGGGCAGGTTTAGGGCTTAATTGATGGCGAGTAGGGTTTAGGAAAGACTGAAGAAGAACATGCTGATGTGTGGGGCTGGCTGGCGTTCTAGGACAGGCTGATACTGGCTCTGAGGTGCTCATCTGCCTTGTTCAGATCCATCCCCCTGCCTGTTTCCAGAAGGGTGCTTTAGGAATGAGAGAGAGACAGAGACAGAGAGAGATAGACAGACAGACAGACAGACACATGCAGAGAGAGAGAGAGAGAGAGAGAGAGAGAGAGAGAGAGAGAGAGAGAGGGAAGGAGGGAGGGAGGGAGGAGGAATTCTGTGGTCTTAGAATCCAGAGGCCATCTTGGAGGTCAGGGGGTCCGCCTGGGCCTGTAGAGGGTACCCAGACCCAGGTACTGGGTACAGGAACACTGGTCTCACGTGGGCATCTGTGTGTGGGGAGTAAGTCTTCTATTCCAGTGAGAAGACTGAATCAGGGGCTCTGAGATTCACTCAGCAACCTCGAATTACATTCTAGAACCTTCCTGAAGGCCTTTCCACTGATGGGGGAGACGCAGGAGCGAGAGCGAGTCCTTACCCACTTCTCACGCCGGTACTGCCAGTGTAACCCAGACGACAGCACATCAGAAGGTACAGTACCCCCTGTTCCCCCTCCCTTATTCCTGCCTGAGTCCTGGTTCTCTCCCACCCTGGCCCACTCCCTGGTCCCCCTCCCTTATTCCTGCCCGAGTCCTGGTCTTCTCCCACCCTGGCCCACCTGTCACCTCTGTCTTGCAGGCCCAGGTGGGCTAGATGCTTTGGCAATTAAGATTGGATGAATATAGTTGGGTGTGGTGACTCATTCCTGAAATCCCAGGAATTGGCAGGATGAGTCAGGACTATTTCAAGCTTGAGGTGAGCCTGGGCTACAGAGTGAGACCCTGCCTCAAAAACCAAAATAATAAAATGTCCAGTGAATATCAGATGGCCTGGTGCTAGACAGGAGAGCCCAAATGTCTTGCTCATGGTCATTTCATTCCCAGTGCCTGTAAGTCCTTCCTACACTCAGTCCTTTAACGTAGTCCATGTTCCGTGTCTCTCCCATCACAACCCTGACTCTCAGCAGGGTAGGGGACCTTCTATGCAGGTCTGTTTCAGGGCCAGGACTTGCCAAATGGATGGACCCAAGTCATAGGAACCAAGGGACTAAATCTCTTATGGTTGTTGTAGGGACATGGTTTGGGGTTCAGAGCCTTTCTTAGGTCTAAGGTTCAAGGTTCAAGGTGACTTTGTCTGCAAGGGGCAGACATCTGGACTAGAGCCTCCCCAGGGTGGTTAGGGGCTGGGTGGTTGGGCATTACCCAGGCATTAGCCCTGAAAAGCTTGGGGGCAGATGTCTGGTTTCCTTTGTCTGTGTGGCCTCTTTGCTGGCAGGTGGGAGACCCTTGGTGGGAATGAGTGTGTTCTCACACTGAGAATCCATTGTGTTCTGTTTAGATGGGA